CGGGGGCCGGGGCAAGCTGTGCCACCGCCGCTGCAGAAGCCGGGGCCGGGGCCAGGGCCAGGGCCGGTTCAGGCCGAGCTGTGCCGCCTCCCCATGTATACAGGGCCTCGCCCTCCATCTCCTTCTGTCACGGGGGCACCGCCGCCACAGTCGCCGCCTGCCGGGGCATGTAGTAGACACCCAGTGGCGCCTCCAGGGCCCAGCGGGGAGGAGCCGCTTGGCTTGGAGTCCTTGCCCGGGGGTGCGGGGAATACAAGGGGGTGCGGGGAATACATGGGTGCAGGGTATGCATGGATTATTTTTTGAAAATGCAATTTTCCACGGGTTATACATGGGTGCGGGTTATACCCGTGTGCAGGGTATATGCGTGAAAATACGGTAATGGCGGAGCAAGCTATTATGCGATGTTCAGTTGTTTTGGTCCTACCACCACTGGTGGTAGTATATGTACTGCCTCCCACAATGCTCGTCTTCTATCCAGCACTGGTGCCCCCCCACCCACTGAGGCCAGCACGATGTTCAGCATGGAGCATAGTGGCATCTCCAGAATGCTAAGTTTGCAACAGAGTGTGGTAGCCCTTAACCCTTCAATATTTCAAGCCTTCCTATTTCTTATAATTCCCATTCCCATTCCAGTACCTGCTTCCCCACCCGCTGCACCCACCACCATGGTGTTCAGCACTGCCCAGCACAGTGGCATCAGCAGAATGGTAAGTTTCCAACTTTCTGAAGTTTGGTACCTACCTACCCCTTAACCCTTCAATATTTCAACCCTTCCTATTTCTTATAATTTACATTCCCATTCCAGAACCACAATGATTAGTCAAGGTGGACACTGCCTGCCACAGTGTTCCCCTAGACTATGAAGTGTCCCTGGTGCTACATAGGTAATTAATGTCCCAATGACCTCGGGGAGGTGGTTCTGCCGGAGGGCGGGCAGGCAGGCAGTGATTCAACTTTTGTTGGTTCAAACCCCCGTTCTTCTTTTTTCTTCCCCTCCCTGCAGCACACTGTGGACATCACAGATAGAAAATTTTCAATATTGATACTATCAAGAAGCCACCTTTTTTGTTAGAGTTATAAAGTTCACACATTTGAAATTATGTCAGTTTTATGTATGTATGTATGAAAGAAAGAAAAAACATAGGCAGATTGTGTTTCAGGAGTGGGTGGGGTCAGTCAGTTGGGAGAAGTGCTGGCTGTGCCTGCCCTTCTCAGCCTATGGATCCTCTGCATGTATGAAAAATAGTTTCACAAAAGACAGGAGGTCACATGAATCATTCGCTGTTAACAGTTGTTTATAAGGTGGGGCATTTATGGAGTCATGGCATTACTGGAAAGATGGGAGGTCCTCCAATGCTTTCTTTACCCACAATCCCAAATCCAGGCTCACCTTGTTGTAAGCAATAGTCATCCCATCATCCTTCAACCCCTCTGCCCATCCACCCCAGAACTGGATAGACAAGAAGAAAAAGCAGCAGGCGGCAATACTTAGCCAGACATCCATGCAGGGAGCTTGAATGAGGGCAACTCTTCTGTTTAATGGGTGGCTTTTGTTTTTCCCCATCACCCACCTCCAAAACACCCTCCCCAATCAATCAATCAAAACACCATCCCCTCCCCAATCAATCAATCAATCAATCAAGCAGAAGCAAGTACAAATCAGCATTTTTTCTTTCTGCTCTTTATTTTTTCACAATAAATTGAAACGCTATCTATTGGGAAATCACAATACAGCTGAAACAGTATAGACATTTTTGTTTGATTAATATTGATCAATATTGGTCAGTATTACTACTATCAAGCATGTAGTAGAGTAGGTGTGTGTGTGTGAAGCAGGGTCATATTTTAGCCCCAGCCCTGCGGCAACAAGCAGGGAGGGAGAGGCCACAGCCCAGGGTGCAACAGGGGGATGCCTGGGCCAAAGCCTGTTCTGAGTGTGCATGCATGGCTTGTGTGGGGTGAGACACCACTTACACTTTATGGGAACATGATAACATGATTTTTTGTTGTAATGAACACAATACTGTAAGTGTTCGGTTACTTGGTATTCATTCCCTTCACCCCACCGTCACCCTAAACTGGCCCTGGCTCCCTGAACCAGAGTGGTGGCCACTTGGCCCTGGTGGCAATGTTACGGCCCTCCCCTGACTCAAGTGCATTTCAAAGAGGAGGCTAAGCTGTACTGGCTACCTCCTGGACAAAGGCAAGCTGAGGGAAACTACTTTTGCCTTTCTGTACCTGCTTTTTTAAGTTTAAATTCGGCTGGGACCTACTTTGATGCTTGGATTTCACCATTTTGTCCAGGACATCATGTATCAAGTCATACGACCTCTGGGACTCTGTGGTCATGTCTACCAACTTCTGCACGTTTTCTCATATGTCCTTCAAGATGGCATCACCTGAATGCATGGACATGCAGAGTTCATCCTGCCAGGCCTCCTCACATGACAGTCTAGCTCATGCAGTCTCCACCAAAGCCCCCATCAAGGTTTCTCGTGAGCATCGCTGCTTCCGGCGCATATCCCTGCAGTGCTCTGCTGTAGTGCGAGCTGGGGTCCGTGGTTGGGGGCATGTCCCTGGCCACCATCGGGCATGGTAGCTGTTAAACAAATGAAAAAAGTCTTCCTTTTTCTTCCCCCAAGAGGAGGAAACTACACACTACCAACCTCCCCTCCCCGCCCACCCACCCTGAAATGGAGAAAATGCATGCAGGCACGGAAAGAGAACCCACCATTCATACTGCCCAAAACAATGGCATACACCCTGCATCCACCACCCCTGAAAGAGCATGGCAACCCACCATGAGCCACACATGAATGTAACCCACCCACTCCAGCCCCCAAAGCACAACCGGCATGAACCAGAGCAGTTCTGGCAGTGGCAAGAGACACATTACAAGATAGTTACAAGTCACCAGTCATGCATCTTCATGTTTCTCAGGAGCACAAAATGATGATTGAGTTCTGTGAAGAGAAACCACATCAACCACATCGGTTTCTCCCCATTCCTCCTCCTCCTCCAACTGATCTGTGCTACTCCACAGAGTTGAGGGGGATACTGTCACTGGGATCAAGTGTAGGGTGACTTGCTGTTGTTGTCAGCAGTGCCTGTCCCCTAGGAGCACGGAGCAGTCTTTGTAGTTCTCCGACATGCTCATGGTACAACTCTCAGAAGGAGCTGCCTCTGTCAGCATGCTCTCCTCCTCCTCAACCCCGGTCCTGGAAGTCACCAAACCTGGAGTGTCACCAGCATCCTTGGAGATGACGGACAGCTGGTGGTAGAAAGGAGCAATTGTGCTCCCTGCCCCAAAGCGAGAGTTTGCATTTTTGACATGGTAAAACACAAATCTCTGGACCTTGATCTTGCACCGGACCTGGATCCAGTCATGATTGTGCCCTCGAGCCTGCATTGCTTTTGCAATGGTGACATAAACAGACTTATTCCTTCTATTTTCCAGCCTGTCTATGATGCTTTGCTCTGACCAAATGTCGATTAAGTCCTGCAGTTCTTCCCGGGTCCAGTTGGGTCCACACTTGTTGATGGTATTAGCTTCCTGCTCCATGACTACCATACTGCTGGCCTTCATTTTCTGAGACATGGGGAAGCAGCTCACGGTCAACAGCAAGTGATTCACAAAAGGTCCCTGGTGAAATTTGGGGGTCTGCTTTATAAAAATGATGCCAAAATTCAAATGATTGTGAAACCATCACCTGGCTGAAAGGTGAAGAAGCACATCTTTACCAACAAAAAACTTGTTGATGGGCTTGAGCATATCGTATAGAAGGCCATTGGGGGAGGTCTTTCACAAACAGAAAAGGATTTGCCTCCATGATACTGCAAGCCATGGTGGACCACTGGGGCTGGTTCACAAACATTTTTACTTGGTGGGCAGAAAGTCTCCTCTCCCTGGCCTCGTGGAGAAAGGACACTATGCACCAGGACCCCATAAGGCAGTGATTGGCTTCCAGGTACTCAGTTACATAAGATACAAAGATGCAAAGCATCAGGAATATTCAAGGCCCACCTCAATCTCAAAGATTCAGTGAACAAGAAGTACCTACAAGCTAAACTGACAAGAGACAGCCTAATTGAACCCCTCTATAACATGTAACAATTTACTGATTACAAGTTGTACTGGTTTAAAATAAGGAGTGAATATAAATCAATGTATTTAAAGTAGTGCAAAAGCTCATTGCAGATTGTTATTCCACATTTAAATCAAGTTTATTTTGATTTAGCTTAAGTCAGGTAAGAACAGGTTCAAGCTAATTTGTGTGTCCACCCAGCCTTTTGCACGGGTTTATCTGTATCTGTTTAAAAGATTCACAGTGCAATCTTTTTTTCTTCTTCCTGACAATCCCTCAATAAATCTGTAAGACTTCAGTAACTACTATTACTGTTGTGTTTGGATATTCTCAACAGGAAAAAGCCTAAAATGGTGGTGATGGTTTGTAGATCTTTAGTGCTGAAGAAAAACTGGTAACAAGATCACAGCTACCACAGTCTCTAATTCTACCACAAAGATGCAAAATAACTCTTAACACTGACAGACCCTCAAATATTTGGTGACTAAGACTCTGAAGAAATAAGATATAAAGCGAAATGAACTGAGATTTCCTGCAATTAAACTGTTTCATAGGTGCAGAGAAATACAGCAAAGCAAAACTGTATTAGTTCTTGCTACTCTTGCAAGGAGTGACTGAAAATACTGGAAAAGAATGATAAAGAATTCATTTATCAGCAAGTATCTCAGTGTAATGGATAACAGTGTCCCCCCAAAATGTCTTTGAAAAAACACAGACTGTGCTCTGGCTCTGTGTTTGTGCAGCACAGGAGCTGGATCCGAAACAGCAAGAGGGAAGAAATAGCTTCAAACCATTTTTCAACATCCCTAATCCTAATCCAGGCCAGATGTCAGCAGTTGAAATAAATCATCTGGGATAGTATGTTAGACTGAAGACTAAGTCCCTCTGGCTCAATCCCAGGCTTCTCAGTTTGCTTTATGTAACATGTTTGAAAGAAATATTTGGGTTTCAGGGCTTAATACAACTCCTGTTAATGCCTGGGATGAGGCCAAATACTAAGGGTAGATTATTCCTCATCTGTCTATTCCAGAGTTGTTATAGCTTTCTTGAAGCATCTGGTTCTGGCTACTGTCTGGGTCAGAGTTTGAGTCTAATACAATCTGGAAATTCCTACATCCTCATATGGTTGCCAAAGGGCTGTTCCACAGCGCAGAGTAGACAGTTCAGAGCATCCTAAATATTCTCCCTTCTACCTCCCAGCATGACATTATTCCAGGTTCTGTGAAATGTAAGGTTGTGGCAGCCTACCTTGTGTCTTCTATACTATTGCTACATGCAGGGACTGCCCCACAGGAGTGTTTCTACCCTGTTTGTTCCCTTTATTCACTAAAAGGGCTTGAACAGGGACAGAATTATTTGCTGCATACAGTTTTCCTATAGAGAAGAGAGAGAGCTGCATTGTAAGATTCAATGATTTTTCTCTTGCTACGATTAGGTACAAATGTAAAATGCCTTCTCCACAGACATGGCAGCCAAAACCATCATTTTCTGAGATTCTCAGCATAGAGGCTAAGGACTGAATAGATCACGGACCCCAAACTCCCTGATTTTACTGGTACACAGTAGCCTCCTGAGATCATCATTGGAGCACACTGGCAGAAGAATGTGATGGAAATGTGATAGTTGCTCTCTAGTCTGACCATAAATCAGCAGATTGCATGCAAAATTCACTAGGTGAATGACTCTGGCCTGTGCCATGTAGGTGAGAAGAGATGATCATAATGGTTCCTAATGATTATGGAGTAAAGAAAATGTAGCATTCACAGAAATCTATTGGAAAATTCCCACTAACTTAAGTAAGGGCAGACAGACGTCTCTAGAGACACCAAAGGCCCCACACTTCAAGCAGCATGTGGACAGCTTTGAAAGTCCAGTACAGAGCAACAAAAATGAATAGGAGTCTGAGAGGGAAGACTTAAGAGGAAAGAAGGAAAAAAAATTAGGCTTGTTTAGTCTGGAGAAGAGAAAACTGAGAGGAGATTTAATAACAGTCTTCAAATACCTGATGGGCGTTTATAGAAAGGATGGGGACAAACTTTTCTCTGTGCCTGTAGGGGACATAACCAGAAGCAATGGCCTCAAGCTGCAGCAAGGGAAGTTTAGGTCGGATTAGGAGGAACTTTCTGACTCTGAGCATAGCCAAGCATTGGAACAGGCTACCTAGAAAAAGTGTGGAATCTCCATCCTTGGAAGTTTTCAAGAGCAGGTTAGACAGAATTTTGGCTGAGATTGTTTAGTCAGGGATGATCCTGCCTTGAGCATGGGGCTGGATTAGATGACCTTGTGAGGTTCCTTACAGACAGTCATCTGCATACAGCCATTTTCCTAGGTGATTTCCTCCAGCATTTGCAACAAAATGTATCCAGAATCAGTTTGTTAGAGCTTTAAATAACAAGTAGCTATTAGTCCATGTTATGTCTGAAAATACCTGATAAAGTAAAATGTGACAGTCAAATTGTTTATTTTTTTAAAACGGGCTATCTTTAAAACCAAAAGTTTAGATTGGACATGTCACACACTAACAGTATGATGTTGATAGGCAGGTATGATCTCACTGCCAATAACCATCCTAACAAAACACAGGAAAGAGCAGCTTAAATTAAACTAAAATGGAATCAACACCATCAGCTTCAGAGGACATTTGAGATTGGAAGGGAATACTTGGGATACATAGGGGCAAACCAAGTCCAAACTTAAGTGAAGTTTAAAACTCTGTAACTTAGCCCTCCCATTTACTAGGTGCCTTCCATGGAGACATCTCAGACCACTTGACATCCATTCACCCAGCCTCCCTGAAACGGTGTGGTAGGGGAGCAGCATTATTCTTGTTTTACACATGCGAAGACTCAGATATAAAGAGAGTGAATAAGTCATCCAAGATCACACAGCAGATCAGAGAGAGCCTGTAACGCCATGCAGGAGTTCTGACTCCTGGTCCTCTGCTCTAAACACTTGACCAAACTTCCTCTTGTTGTACACTTGAAAGCATGGAAGCCAATTAGCCACCTGTCTCATTGTGTAACATTTTCAAGCAAAGAGCTTCACGTGTATTGGACCTCCTGCTAGTTGTGACAGGCTGCACTTTCACACATGATCAAGACCTTTCACTGTGTGAAATATAAATTGACCACATTCCAGACTCCTGTTTGTATTAAACAAATGTTTTGACTGGGAGCACTGATTCTGCTTCACCTCTGTTGTTTCTGATTTCCTGTTGCTGTTCCCTTTCTCTCTACTCCTCTTCCTCTTCCAACACTGGTGTCAACACAGTGACCACACACACACAGGTCATGGTTGCTAGTAGCCAACTGGCAGGTGTGAGATATTTTTCTTGCAACATATGTATGGATGGATGACTGCCCTTGCTGTGTGAGTGACTTGGTTGTTAGCAGCACTTTTGGCTTGGGTGAACAGCCTCTGGCATTCATTTTAGTTCCAGCTGCTTGATAGGTTGACTCCACTGTTTTCTTCTCCTAGACATCATTTTTACCAAATCCATTTTTTGTCCAATCAT